TGATCGACCACTATTTATTTAGGTATATTATTTATATATTATATATTATTACATGCAGCATATTTAACTAAAATATAAAATATTATGTTGTAGTTTTTTCCAATGTATGTATATTGTATTAACTATTAAGGTATACGATTTTTTACATTGGACATTTTCTATTTTGACCTCTCAAAAGTACGAACTAAATCCAATTTGATAACGTTGAAAATGAAAGCATATTTTCTACAAATTTTCGTTTACGTAGACACAAATAAAAATTTTAAAAAAATATCGTTATGAAATTAATGATTAATTATGATTCATGACGTTTTGAACACACGGAGACGTGAGTTCGAATCACCTTATTTTTACTAAGTCGAAAATCTTAAAAATAAAATAAAACGTGTGAAAAATGATCGTATTAAGATACAATTATAGGGATGTTACCACTGGGTATCTTCCCTAATCTAATTACCCATATTATTTGTTTTTACTTGTCACTCACCAAACCTACTTATTGTACAAAAACCATGTATAGATTGTAGATTTCTTCAAATAAAAAAAAAAAAAAAAAGATACAATAGCCGAACATTTGCTACATCAAATAGCATGTTGTACAATTTATTATCATTCGGTTCATCGGTCAAATTCTATTTTTATGATATAAATAAATTGTGACTAAATCGGCGTTTGTCAATATCACACCAATTTTTCTAGACCACCTGAAATATACACATCTTTGGCACCAGTGAATTTTTCACAAATTAAATAGAAATACATTGATTGTGCCTGGAAAATATTATAACGAGAATATTCGCTATATGTTTTTTGATATGTTAATTAAGTATATACAAAATGTCTTAATGTTAAAATTGCTGAAATGTTAAAATAACTAAATTGTAAAAAAAAACACCAATAGAATATATTTTGAAACAATATGTCATGTACTCGTGTTCTTAGTCAAAATAAATTATTGAGAGTTAGTGTTGACAAAAATTTAATCTAAAATCGAAAATTTATCTTTAGATAAATGGTCTATGAAACGTCTATCTTTAATTATTTAGTTGATTTATTTTTTTACTTATAAACTTAGTTAAATTTGATCATTTTTGGTTACAAGATCATGTCTAAAAACACATTATTATCAAATAAGCTTTTTTATTATATTCAAAAATCGTAACATAAATAATTTAAATTATTCACTTATATTGTGTTATATAGGTATTTAGACTACTGTAAATGTGTAAAAATAAGCTATTAAAGAAAAAAATGTTGGTATCGATATATGTTGATAAAGTATGAAAGACGCATGTATTCCCAAATGTTTTAACCATTATACATTTTTATTCATTCCAAATTATATTAAAAATATAATTTGCTATTTGGGATTATTAATATTATTTTTACTAAATAGAGAATATTTTAAATATATGGTTTTAAGAAATTAAACAACTCATAAGTTACTACATCACATGGAAAATAATTTAACTCGTTTAGTTAGAAGTTACTTAAAAATAACAAGTAACTCGTTATGTAATTTAGTTAAAGTAATTAAACTTTTTACTTGTTAATGCCCAGCCTAGTAATTTGTATTTTAACCATGTAATATTTTTTTATCTTGTAACAAAACAATTTATATTTTTTAGTGTCAATGAATCTCAATTCTAAAGTAATATAATTTGTATTTCAATTATGTATATTTATTATTCTTATACTACTTGTTTTAGCGTCAATGAATCTTTAAATAATCAGTCACAATAATCACACGATATTATTTAAAGTACAGAAAATGCTGTTGGTGTACAATTCTGAAATAATATAACTTAAATTGACCTGTTTATATTTTGTTACACTTACATACTATTTGAATAGGATTAGTGTAGGTATGTGCAATTATGTAAATACTAAAATATCTAAAATCTAAATTATTTAATATTTCTTACAATTTTTTTAATTTAAGTAATTTACAAAAAGTGTACCTATATTTTTTTTTTTTTAAATAAAATAATTGTGTGATATTTTTTGATTAATTTTGGCATATTGCGACTAATAAGTATTCATATTCATACATTTTTAGTTTCTGAACGGAGCGATTGTACTGACGTAGCGATGTATTGATTTGAGAATGATGTGTTTTTTTTCACATGTCAACACATTTTGTTCCAGTAAAAATGGTTCAAAATTCCCAATAGTTTTCAAAAGTGTCAGAATAAGCAAAAAATTAAAGAAAAACTAAATTTTCGAAAAAATGTATTTTTATTTTTAGTGTAACTCCAAAAAAAATAAATGTAAATACATGACATTTTCACTTTATGTTGAAATAAGCATGATGCACCATAATAACATTTTCGAAATATTTCAACTTTTTTGAGCTAATTATAGGTATAACAAAATTTGAGTTTATTAGTTTTTTAAAATTATTGTCGATACAAAATAATAAGCAATTTGAATATGTAAGACATATAGCCATATAGGTTATTGTCACATAAGTGGAAATAAAAAAAAAATTGATCGTAAAAGTACAATATAATTCAAAGGTTGACAAAATTCGTCAAAATCACGAAAGTGTACACATATCGTGTTAGAAATTCATGAAAAATATTTTGTTTGTATCTGAGTTTTGCACATTTAATACAAGATTCCCCCTAATGTACACGCCCACTTACCGTCATTTCATTTTTTATAATCATGTATTTCAGTATCATTAGTTTCTAACTGTTATTTGTTTTTTTTTTACTGATTTTGAGTTTTGACAATATTCAATATATAATCCAGAATCCTGTATTATTGTATATTTGTACTATTAATTAATTAATAATAATAAAATAACAAGATTTTGTGACTTTTAATTTGACTAAAAATATATAACGAATTTAGGTGGATCAAACACAAAACGAATACTTTAAAAATAACTGTATTAAGCCCTTCCCAAAAATATTCTTGGGCTCGCCCTTCGAATATATAGCTGTACGACGGAAGTTATTTTATTGGAGGTTCTTAGCTTGCATGCATACTGCAATTAGCCACTATATTTATTGATATGTAATTGACGTTTTTTTCCGTGCATATTTTACCCATTACCGTTGAAAATAGATATTTAATTTTGTTCCAAGATTGTATAGGTACCTAAGCTGAGTGCTGACATAAATTATTGCTATAAGCCTACAGTTTGCTTTTATTCATTTATATTGTCATTTTTTTTTTACTTGTATTTGATTAAACTTGGAAGAAATACTTTAAAATTTAAATGTCCGTCTTCCGTTCAAATGTATTGTTAGGTATGTTCTAATAATGAAAGAGTGTTCTATAATAATGATAATAATATAATATTATTAATATTGTTTTATTTCTATTGACATTGCATGTTTTTTTTTTTTTGGTTAGTCTGCAATTTTTTTATTTTGGATCCGATTGGATTTTCGGAAGACTATAACATTCATTAAATATTGGCATATTGCTTAAATATAAGTTAGTTATAATGACTAGACACGTTTAATCAGGCTCGGATAAACACTATCGTAGGCCCTAGACCTCTAGCCCCTTTCGTGCGTCTTTTTGTATGCATTGGACATTTTAATATTACCTCTGTTTTAATAATGTGAATATTAACATTTATATGAGTTAATGATTTACATATACTGATATAGCATGTGATATAACTTTAAAAATGCAAATGATAATAATTTAATACTAGTAGTTAGTGGGGTAGGAACTAGAACTATAGACCATACAGAAAAGTTTTGTTACGTGAAAAATACTTTAGATATTAAAATTTTTTTTTAGTTTATTATTTTTATTCATAATTTTACTAAGAACATTATTTAAATTCAAAGTTAATGACAGTAAATCCCTCAACAATTATTGATCAAATTTACCAATAATATTACTTATGACCTTTACTAATTAAATATACTATGTTAATATATTATTAATTGATGTATCTAAAAAAAAATAGATACTTAAATTTTAAAATACCAGTTTAGAAATTATTCCGTGTAATGTTAACTATTCTAGATTGACGATGTACGATATCGGATATCATACGGAGTATGGACAACTGACAAGGATTAAGAATAATTAAATGTTGTAATGATATAATAATGAATAATAATTATAATACGAAATAATTTTGACCATAAAGACTTTATAACTTAATATGTAATCTATAATTTCAATCAATTCGGTAGGATAAGAATATGTGTACCTATATTATATAGGCACCATGGTCAGAAACAGCTTCTAAAATACTAAATGGTAGAGGAGGTTGAAGGTTTCATTTATCTTAGGTACACTGTCGTTTGTCCATATATGAATGATATTTTATCGGTTTTTATGGTTTATCCAATCTTAAGGTTTTTAAGGATTTCCTTAGGTAATTACTAATTACGAATTACAATAGCCGATAGGTAACGAACATTGAGTGTAAAATATAAGAAGGTATACGAGTAAAGGGCCACACACACTGCAGAGGTGAAAATAAAAATTCTTTCGTCTTGGTGGTACCGCCACGGTGGTGGTAAGTTGTGTGCGGACTCATTTTAACGCTACCTCCACCGGCACAGTACACCGGTACAGTGTGTGGGGATCTTAATAGTATTAATTTTGCCTATAAATTCTTAAAGAGTTCCATAATATTTTACTCGTTGTGCAGATAACGTGTACAGATCGTATATTAACTTATAATAATAATAATTTAAAAAATACTTAAAATACTTAAAAAAAATTGTAGCCACACATAGATATTTGTAGACCCTATATATAGTGCCAAGTGCCGGTACGTGCCTAATAAGGACCTGTGTTTGAACATTAAAACTATAAAGTGTAAACGTTTGAAACAATTTGTTACTGATAGTACCAATAACGATTATCCAACAACAGAAATTATGTGTACCTATGTGTTTTTTGTACCTCCCGACGTACGGGGACGCTCAGTTGACCCGTCCGTTGACAACTCCTACCGCGACAAAATGTTAATCTTTTTAATCAAATTCTTTTGCGGGACTTATCACCAAAGCCTCCAACGGATCGATTCTCGGCGTTAGTAGGTCGTTCAGTGGGCTTTATTAAAACTTATCAGTATTCAGTACTTGTTTAACGCTAACCTCAAATGCCGACCGTCGTAATAAGTTTCTAATGTTTACGGTTTAAATTCATTGAATTCGCAGTTATTCGCCGGTTGTTACAAAAAAATATCGTTTGTTCGGTAGAATTACATCATACCTCTATTGCCAGTAGGCAATCGTAGGAGGTAAATAGACATTTTTGTTTTAAACTGGATAGGTAGTTAAATTGTATTGTCTTTCATTCTTAATGAACTTTCGATGTATGTAGAATACCGTTCACTTCCCGGATACTGACGAGTTTAATAATTTACAAAAGTATTAAAATATAATACTTATTCATGATTGCAGCTCTTCAAACACACAATGGATCTATCTGATGAAGATGAAAACCCCTATGATTTTGTTGCGCAATTTAAAAGTGAGTGCCTTTTATTAAATGTTTATATACCTGTAGACATTTGTGTTAGTTTAAAAGAGGACACAGAGTCCGCATGGGCCAAACTTAAGCACACTAGATTTAATACATTATTGAATATTTAATACCAACTAGTGACAGTAAACCTGCATGTTTGGTTTCTGTCTTACAAACCTACAACATAGCAAAAATTTTAATTATTTAGAACCAATTGTTTTTGTTAGCCTTAATATTGGAGTAAATTGGTCTATAATAAATCTTTAAGGTTAGAATATTATTTAAGGCATCTCACAGACTTCTATTGATATTTTAATTTTAAGGTGAGTATAAACGTATAACTATGTAAAATATTATAATTTTAAAATGCTTATAACTTGCTTTAAAATTTAAATATCAATAAAAGCTTGTTATACTCTAGATAATATTTATATTTGTATCTAAGTTTGATAATAGGTCAGTTCACACCAATTTTAAAACTAACCAGCTCTATATTGAGACATTTTGGCCCATTGAGATTTTAAATTTCTACTGGCCTTCAACAAAGTATCGACCCATTTGACAAAAAAATGTTTATGATCACTCTTTTAGCATGTGTGCTTTTATTCATAATTGTTTCTCTAAAGCAAATCTACAAATTATCAATACATTAAAAAGTTATTAAATATACTCGTACTTAGTTATATTATTAAAAAAATGCAAAATATAAGTTTAGAATTAGATACATGCAATTTTTACACTTTTCATTTTATACTCATCAATCATTAAAACCTTAGTATGAGTAGTATGATCATTATTTTTAATCAATTTAATATGACTTTATAATTTTAAAATTTGATTTGCTTTTAGATATATATTTAAATAATTAGATGTAGATGTGTACATAGTATATTTTAACATAATAGATTATTTTTAAGCGAGATTTTCTCGTTAGCTTGCCGGTCCAATCCAGGGCTGAAACTAAAAGAGTACAATTTATAATTTCTATTGATGAACAAACTTGTTATGTTGTATGTTGTATGTTTGTGAAACAGAAAAAACATATGAAGGTTTGGCATCAACTTCAGCATTTTTTCTTCAAATGATAGCAATTATTGCACTGTTTCCAGCACCATTTAGTATTACGTATTGTATTAAATCAAGCATACTTGAATTTAGGCTTAGCTCCTACTTACCTATCCAAGAAAATGTTTCTCTAAATTAGAAACCAGCAAACTACATTCAGCCCTTGCATTTAGATGTTTATCAAAATTATTAAGTCAGTATTAGTTATTATGAGTACTAAAATGCATGAACCAGGATTAAGACTGAAACCTTTAATTTATTTATTTTTGAAAAACTGTAGAATGTAGAAATCCCTTATTACCTAAACAAAATAAATAAACTAATTTTTTGGTTCTAACATAAAATGTCGTACTATGTTCAGTATTATATTATAATTTGTTTACTACTTGGTTTTTGGTATACCTAGTAAAATCATGTTATCAGTTTTTACTTATCATTTCCCAACTCATATTGGCACTTGACGACTACACTATCTTATACATATGATATAACTTAGTAAAAGACTAAACAGTTGTGAAAACCATGAAGTATGTGTATACAAATTTTAAATACATGAAAATAATTTTTTTTCAATCTCTATAGCTTTATAGGACTAGTTTGGTGTTTCTATCGATCATTGCTATTAATCATTTTTGTTAAAAGTTGTTATCGGTACTGTGTCCAGCAAGAGAACATACCATGGCCTGAGATAAATTGGTTATTTTACACATCCCCGCCATGAGGGCAGCATGATACCTTGCCATGATGGATCTGTGCTCGATGCATAGGGATGCGGAGAATCAGCAAGTTTTCTTGCTTGACAGAGCATATTTCAATACATTTTCAACAGATTCATTATTATAGTACTTAATTAATTAGGTGTTTATTTATTTTAAGGTTTAATGACTTCACCCACCTAAACCTAAAATTCATCTTATTATTTTTGTATTATATTCAATATAAACATTGGTTGGGATTTGGTTGTGTCTAATGCTCACTATAAATTATATTTTAATTATTCTAAGATATATCCTAAATTTTCATTGTTTTGTGTACAAATTTTAGAACTTCAAAAGGAAAGAAAAAATAAAGTTACCCCTGCAGATAATGAACATCAACCAATCGTCAATAGTGCTTCAAAGTAATGTTACATTTTGTACTTTATATTACGAACTGTACATAATAATAGTTAGTTTTAATAGTTTACAGACTACAACTTCTGTCAATGTAACGCAAAGTTCTTCTACACAGTCTGAAGCATTAACTTAGTAAGTTATATGCTTAATTTAAAATGATTTATAGTGAACACAATTACCTGAATAATAAAATATTGTAATTGATATTATATTAATTATTTTTTTTATAGTTCAGATGTAAATACTACTGTCAATTCAATAGCAAGTACTTCTACCCGAACTAATGGTCGTGGTCGTAACAAGCCAAGAGGGTACATTTTTAACTTAATTTGAAATTGTGTATAATTTTTATTTAATAATGAAACTAATATTCTATTTATTTATTTTTGTATGGGTTATTTCAGAAGAAATCGTGCAACTGAAGAATCTGCTAATGTGATTGGACCAGTAATATGTATAGGGGATTTTTATGATGGTTACAATATACAATTTCCAAAAGTATGGAAGGAAAAAACATCTAGCAATGTAGCTTTGGAGGATGTTGATGATATCATGAATGTAAGTTATGTATTCATAGTTTTAAATACTTTTGTTTTATACATTTATTCTTAAACATTATATAATATATGTTTATATTTGTTAGAATTGGAAAAAAAGACAAATTGAAGAAGCTGAAGAAGAAGATGCCTTAGCTTTAGCAAATCGTGTTATGAATATTAAAGTCTATTGGCGACAAATGCGTACATATCGTTTTCCTCTTAGAATGGTCAGTTATTTTTTGTGACGATTAGTTACTATTTATACGTTTGTTCATATTAGTTGTAAAAATTAGTTCCAGCCAATTTCAAGTATTTACGAACATTTTGCAAAACTAGAAGATATAGATCCTTCACATGTCCGTTTAGATCTACACAAAAAAACTCTTTCACCGACAGATACACCAAATTCAATCAACTATAAGATAGTCGATTTCATTGGTAATATTATAATTTTAAAATATTTAAATGTCACTGCTAATGTCAATATTTAGACAATGTTAACTTTAGCATATTTGTTTTATAATATGTTCACAAAAAAGGTGTGTGCCAGACTCAAGTATAACATTTAAAATCATGTAATTAAATTAAGATAAAATCTATATTTTACGCTTATCAGTCATTTAATGGGTTTTAAATTATATTAATGTAGTTAAATTTTTCTAGTCACTACTCTACAGCAAGGGTCACTAATCAGAGTTTATTCTAAAATGCAGTTGGACTTATTTTGCGTATTTGGAAAAGCTATTTGCGCATTTGATAGTAAATTTTGGAATTTGATTTTTATAAACTGTTGTTATATTAATAATAGAAGACAGTAAATAGCCTTCAAATCAGGCTCACACATCAAATTTTGAGCTCCTGTACTAAATGTTTTTGTGGGCCCTATACAAATCTTCCATAGACCGCGCAACAGAAACTGGTCAGTTACCCCCAAAACCCGCCCGCCATGAACCTGCCGTTAACCGCTGGGTCTGAAGGTGTGCATCGTCGAGTGATATTTACACAATAGGCATACGGCATGTGTTTTTTGACCACTGATTAAAAATTGCCGCTAGAGTCGCGCCAGTCACCGGCCACTTTTTGTTGCACAGACTACAGTGAAATACAATTCATTACAAGCGATATGGGTGTCCTATACACAATTTATTGGTAATCGATGGTGTTAACTCACAGCTTAAAGAAAACATATTTTTGTCATAAAATATATATTCCTATAAAAATTAAAAAAATTACAAATTCATTACAACTAACCCCTAAAATAGCCAGGCTCCTGTATTCCAATTGTTAAAACAATGGTTTTAGATCATGTTAAATATACTAAGTCAGCTTTAAACAAACTTAAATCATTAAGTTCAATTAATTCAGTTGGTGGTTGGGTATATGTATACAAAGATAAACTTAAAGGTACTGATAGAAAAGCAATAGAAGATATGCGATTAATTAAATTTAAATTTTTTTCGAAAAAAAAACAAAAATCCAAGCATAATTTGTATGTTTCAAGAAAATAGATCTGTAAGTGGTATATGCCAAGACATGATAGAAAATTTAGCAATTTTGGCAAGATCATATAGATATTGATGAATATTTTGTTAGTACAAAATTTGTGAAACAAAATGTGTAGTTGATAAAAATTCTTAGAACAAGCCTTGTCACTAAACTTTTCCAACTAGTGAGACTCATATTAAAATGTTTAAGCATCTGGTGATCTACCACTATTTGTATGGGTATAGTATTTATATTATCACATGCAACATAATCATAAATTGTATAATAATATTCTTCTTTTATTATTTCTCCATCGGATAATTGTATGTTTTAATTCGCTAATAAATAATATTTACTTTGTATACAAAGCATAAATGTGTGTTTAAGTCTTAAACTTTAAGATTATGCATGGCGCGCTCATAAATAATTAAGTAAAAAATAATAGAAATTAGCTTAATTCATTTTATTTCAAGTTTTAGTTTAGCTTTTAAAACTTGAATAATATCAGGTAATATAATTAAGTCTTTATGTTTTTATTTAACAAGTTGAGTAATGATTGCTTTATTATTTTAATTTTTAGATGGTGATATAGAATTTTATAGAAGCCCTTACGATACACCCGATGTTCCAGAAGTTAAAGAACAAAAAAATGATGCAGTCAAATTTTGTATTAAGCAAGCAAATGTTAAAAAACCAATCTTTATGGAGATTAAAAAAACTGACAAAATGCTGATATTGTATATCAAACTATCAGAAATGTTGGGATTTGATATTGACTCGTTTACATTGGAGTTTGATGGTGATAAAATTAAAAAATCTGATACAATGGAGAGCTTGGATCTTGAAGGAGATGAATGTTTTGAACTCTTCCAGAAAAAACCTAAGAAATAGATTAAGTAACAAATAAAAATAATATGTTTTAATTATAAATAATGTATTTATTCAATCAAATATTTTTTTATAATTTTATAATATAATCGTCAATAATTACTATTATTACTAATTTTGCTTAATTTTTTTATGTAGCTTATTTAATAATAGAAACGTGTCCTTTAGGTATTAATGTAACCGTCCAATATTATTGTTTCATAATTTATGCATAAACATTTATATGAGACCAATGGTTTGTGTATGTGAATTTTATTTTTGTACTTTCGATGTTTATTTTGTCATATTTGTAATTAGTGATGGGCATAATTGAGTGAAAATAATCAAGTTACTAGATTGTTGATAATAATCGAGATATCTCGATTATTAAAATTATAATCAACTATGTAACAGAGTGATTTTTCACTCAAACTATAGTAAATTAGTAACTCGAGTACTCGTTACTCGACTACCGAGGTACCTTATTTTTAGAATCCTAAGTCCAAAACTCTGAACACCGTTATCAATTAAATGAATAAAATTAGTCATTACTTGGTGTTTATAATATTTTCATTTTGGTACACTGTATTATTGTTATTTTAGTATACGTTATTGCATATCATAATTATTTTAAACAACGCTTTTCCAATACAAAATAAAATTAAATAAAATTGTAATTGTATAAAAAATATTGTTATTGATGAAAAATATATATTGTTTTTGTTTTTTTTATATAATTTTAACTTTATAAAAATATTATAGTACCAGTAAAAATACCTTTCCAGAGTTGTATAAAATGCAACTGAAGTATTTATGTATACCGGATACATCAGTTCCTTCGAAACTAGTATTTTCAAAAACGGTGCAAATAATTAACGACCGTCGAAGCAGATTAACTCCTAAAAATCTAAATTACATAATTTTTTTAAATAGTAATTTAAATTTGTTTAAGTCATTACAATTGTTAAATTTATACTATTTATTTTTACTATTATTATTTATGTCTAAATTAATTTTTATTTCTATTGATCATTTTGACTATTTAGAATACCGACTAATAACAAACTTATATATAAATAGGTATAAATATAAAATTATATTTATATATTAAATATAATATAATAAACTTATCGATTACCTACTATTCGAGTAATAACTAATAATACTAATATTAATTGAAATTTTCGAGTGATAACTCGATTATAACAATATATTGATTACTAATAACTCGGTTATAGAAATAATTTAAATTATTAGGAGGTTGTTGAATTGAAAATTATGAAAATATTTTCATTATCTTCATTAAAATTGCACCAATTAATATCAGTATACACAAAAAACAATTATGATGATATAAAATGTATACCTTTGCAATTTTAAAATTGCAATTACAAAGAATACAATCTTATGACTTATTTTTAAAATAATAATTTAACCTAAATAAAAAATTTCGATTTCTGTTTCTCAGGATAGTAAACAGCTGAATATTATTAAAAAACGATGCAATTTACATTTTGAATAAAATAGTATTTATTATGTTGTATTTTCTTAATAGCACTTCAGGTATATAAAGAAAATCAATAAAACTACGAAGACAATAAGAGGTATTAAAACTGTTAAGACTGAGATACATGTCATTTAAATAATAAATACAAATGTTATAGATCCATGAAATTATTATACAATTCATACATTACGTGTACCTGTAGGTAGTATATATATTATCATACGGTGGTATCACATCTATATCAACTTTGGCGGAAAATACTTATCAACGGCAATCGGTCCAGCGGTTGTCTAAGAAAGTCTAGGTAAATTCGAAACGTGTTTGGTGTTATCCATGACGTGGTTAAGTACCTAGACGTAAATATAAGCGCAGTCCGTCATAATCGCATTATAACACAGTATTGCATTTTATTAATTTTTTTTTTAAAATAATGCATTTATTATAAAATTATTTATGTTTTTCATAATATATTGTATTATTAATGTTATTAGGTAGATTTAGAATCAATATTGCATGTACCATTGACTAAAATGGAATATTCTGTGTTATTATAGTTTCGCCCACCTTATGCAGTTAGTATTTGGATGTGTGTACTGCATTACTGTTTATCGTTGTTATTATTATAAATTAAATTAAAATATTAAATAATAAATTTAATCGTCATGTTGATAGCGAAAACAACACTAACTAGACACTAGTACCTACTTACCACGCAGCAGAAATGTTATTTTATCTTAACTAATAAGTACTAAGTGCTACTGTACTTGTACTAGGCACCTACTTTCAATGTACCTATACACAATAATATAGCTGAACAACCAATGGGAACTTTACAATTATACATCAATATGCAGTTAAATTTAAATTATAAAATCGTCTTTATTTCGTATTATACCTATTAGAACAAACACCTAGATATTTCATGAGATAACACCATCTCATATTTTAAGTTTGAACACTAACATATAATCCTAATGACAGGAAATAGCAAGCAGTCGTGTTATGCGAAAATATTAATCATCTCGAATTAAAGATAGGATATCATACATTATGCTTATGATCGATCGTCTTTAGCTAAACATTCACACATGGTACTATTTTTGTAACATTTTTTTTATAAAGAGTCATAATATGAAACTACATAATTTGTGTGTAAATACAGTTTGTCAAAATGATATCGTTTACGGCATACTGACATCTAACATCTTTGTCAACTATCTATGAATAAATGAGTATAGGTACTATTATTTTCATTAGCGAGTGACAACTGTTGCGCTCATTGGGAGCGCTACATATCGACCCACATCTTAAACATGCGCTCATCGTAATGTCTAGTTACGTAACTACGTCCTGAATAACTCCAAAAGCGTTTTGAATTTACCTAGACTTTCTTAGACAACTGCCTTATCTCAAATTGAACTTCCATCCATTATAGGTATTGACTAATGATAGTAAAATACTATTTATTTACTTAGCTATTAATTGCAATTTTCTGCGATATTACATAGATGTGAATAATCTGTATTTTTAACACTTTAAACTGCTAATGTAATATGTGTTAGGAACCTTGTATTAAATGTTCAAGTTTTTTGACAAAAAAAAAAAAAAACAAGAAAACACATTTTAAATGTCGGTAAACAGCTCAAAACGCTTCAAAATATTTTTAGAATACTATCAAGCATAGAAAATAAACATGCTGTGTAAATTTCAAGTACCTATACACGGGTATTCGTTTCTGAAACAACAAATTAAGAAAATCTTGAGATCCATGAAGAATTCAGCAAGTATCTAACATTTTAAAAACTTTAAACACTCATAAAAATTTAATTTGACTCCGATAACTTGATTTTTTCGTGAAAAATAAACAAACTTATGAGGAATTTCAGATATTAAAACAAACATTCTTATGAATTTCTAACTTAAAATAATTTAAAAAATTTAGTGATTTATTCTATTTTTGTAAAATTTGTAACTCAATAAACGCTTATAAGAATTACTGTGGATTAACGCACAACTTTTTTTAATTTCCACTAACAGCAACTTATGAGGAACCTTGTATTGAATTTTTAAGAATTTTGACCTAGTGAAATTTTTTTTTATAGTCGTTAATTAAAAAACAAATAAAAATCAAAAAATGTCTTATGCTTAGACAGCTCAACATAATGAGTCAAAATATTTTATGGTGTATAAAAAATGCTAACATAAACAATCAGTGAAAATATCATGTATCTATGGTCTTTTTTTTATATATAGGGTCATACCAAAAATCAAAATCGAATACTGATTACTGATTTTTCTTATAACTTCCCGTTTTTCTTTACTTTGTTTTTGTTTTTCCTAGAGCGCTTTTGAAAACTTTTGGAAATTTTAACCCGTAAATGTAAAATTTACAAATGTTTGGATTTGTACGGAATGATATCGATATATCGTAAACTCGTACTAATAAATATACTCGTAATTCGTATGTATTCATAATAATTAATTTGTTTTTGTATTTCTTATGACATTTTGTATGAATTTCTAACTTGAAATAATTTGCTAATTTTCTTGATTTTTTAATTTCAGACATTCATAATAAATTATTGTATTTTTAAGCTCAACTCATTTTTTAATTTCCAACAAAATCTTATTAGTTATGAGGAATGTGATATTACATTTTCAGGTTTTTTTTACCAAGCAACATATTTTTTATTAACAGTAATTTAAAAAATACTAATATAACACACACATTTATTCTTACGCCTAAAAAGGTTTACAATATTTTGAAAAATAATATAGTGCATTGAAATTCCTAATATAATTACCGTCAATCGGACCAACTTGGGGGCAAACAATTTATCAAATTTATCAAATTTATTTTTATTATCTTATAGTTTTGCCTCCATAACGGTCTCTTATCAATTAATAATACTTATGAGAAACAAATGTTGTGTTATAATCTTAACAATATTTATAAATACTGTAAATGATTTATTTGATATTTAAAATCACCTTGGTAGTGTCACATGCTCGCAGCATCAAATTTAAAGCATCAGTAAAATTTTTCATTAATTAATTTTATGTTTAATATTTATTGTTAATCTAACGTCCAAAAACATACACTAATACTCATGGAATGAATTGTTTTATACAATAATTGATAGTAAAATATGTGTGTACAATTTACTAATCTATGTATTAAATTATTATAGTCCTGCAATTTTGTAAATTAGGTATACGTTTTAAATTTTTGGTCTAACTTGTGCCACTACTATTCAACCAGGCTCCAAGTTATACTTCGGATAAATGTAAACTAGTAAACTAGTCCATTCCATTTAAACAAGACTATCCTTAATACAATCTAGTCTAATAATCTAGTTAATGTTGGAGAAAATGTTTGAAAATTGTTAGAAAAAGAATGTTACTAATTTTTTTAATGTGTTTATGTATAGTGTATACCTACTAACCAGTTACAAAATATATTTGTTAAACTTAGAAAATATAGTCTATTATTTTTAAAACTTTTAAATTGTGCCCCGATTTGGTTTCAGTGAATGTTTTTAAGTTTTTCATATGAAAAACATCAATGTCCCATGCTTTCAATATTCAGTACAACTTGAGGCGAGCAAAAAAAAAATTTAAAAAAACACAGAAGGAATAATTGTTAATAAGCCATATCATAATTAAAAAAAAGTGTTGCATTTATAACACATCTAGATTAATGAATCTTAATGTTGTATACAATTTAATTTCAGAACTACCCCAAGTTGGCCCGTATGACGGTATTCAGTAGACATTTTGATTTTAGAGTTAGGTACACTAAAAAAAAAACAAAATCGATTTTCTCAATAACTGATTTAGCTTAAAAATCTTAGTTTTTCCTTAATTGTTTGTTTGTTTTTCCTGAATATTTTATTTTTGA